TAAAACTCCCGTAGGTCGTCGCAAGAAACTGCCAGCCATTCCCCAGGCGCCAGCCCCAAACGGCACAGCAGGAAACCCTGGCCAAGGCGCTGGGTGCTGGGCGAGATTGAAGCACAGCGGCTGTTCACGACCGTTGGGTTCAGAATCAACCTGTCGAAGTCGCTGTCTTTGGGTACCCTGAAAGCTCCGCAGGCTTCATCCCAGGCGAGGTCCGAAGCAGGAGTCAGGTACAGGGCGCCGCAGGCATCCCACTTCTGGAGCAGGGCCCACAGCTCGGCGCGGTCCATATGGACACGCGCCCCCTTTTGGCCAGCAGGCCACTCTGACGCCGGGAGCCGCATCTCCTCTGGATTGATGAACGCTTCTCGGACTCGAGCGTCAGAGAGAAATGGAATGGGATCAAACACTGGCGAATAATCCCACTTAATGCGAGACGCCCTGACTTTTAAATCGAAGGGCTCGACCTGGGTGGAGTCCCAAGCCGCCGCAGACGCCAGCGAACCAGGCACGGAAGGAGCGCTGGTCGGGCAGTGCCGCAAGGGGGCGGGCACGGAAGAAGAGGAGGTGAAGGAGGCCTCCAAAGCTGCAACATGGGTGGCCAGGCCATGGAGCGAGACCTCAGTAGAGTCGAACTTGGCGAAGGCTCGTCCTAAGTCGCTCTTGCCGCCACGGGCAAGGCGAACTGCGATCCGACACAACCGTTCGATACGGGTGCGGACGCCCTCCTGGCAGGGCGAGACCGTGGCGCGGACACGAGCCTCGGCGGGAGCGAGGCTAGGGTGACCCAGCGTGAGCCAGTTCAACGCAATAACAGAATACTGCGCGAGCGTCCGCGCCGCGCGCCGCAATCTCCAGCGCCCCCTGCGCCTCGCCGACAAGCCGTCAGGCGGGGGACCAAGAGGTGGAGCAGGCGGGCACGGCCAAGGATCGCGGGGAGGCGACCCCAAAAGGCACGGGTCGTCCCTGTCCATTGCACGCATTGATGAGCGGGAGAAAGATCCAAGAGAACATCGAGCACCCATCCCAACCTGGGACAGCGCTGCCGCCCAGTGGGTGATATCAATGTTCGCGCCTGGAAACAGGCGCAGCAAGGCAGACAAGTCAGCGACGAATGGCGCGACTTTGGCAAGAGCAGCAGGGGTGCTTGAAGGAGAACAAGCACCAGCGAGAACACCAACCTCAGGGGCTGCAGGCCCCCTGGAGGGCGCGCTCGACTGAGGCAGGCGACGGCCAAAATGGCCGAAGGGATCCGAGGAGCGGTTCGGAGCAGAGCGAAGGGCGTGGTGGCGGAACGTACTCCTCCCTGCGGGGCCGCAACAGCATCGCTGGAGGAGCGCATTCCTACCCTCGCGCCCTCGCTGCGCCCAAACACGCCTAGCAGCCGTAACAGCGTCGGTGCAAACTGTTTGCGGCGGCGCACCCCGGCCCCGCGAAGGCCCCCCCTCCCAGGAGGCGGGCGCCAAGGGCGTCTTCAGTCCTTCTTGGGCACCGCCTTCGGGGCCTTGGAAGCACCCTGAGGCTTGAAGGGGGGCTTTGAAACCTTGGGCTGCTTGGGCTGATGAGGTGGATGCTTGGGAAGCGCGACGGCGCGCTCGGCGTCGAGACGCGCCCGAAATGCTTGCAGCTCCTTCATGTATTCGCCCTGCGCCGACAGCCAGCGAGGATCCACCAGGGGTGAGAACGGGGTCTGGGCCTCGCGCTCCGTGCGACGACTGGTCACGCGACACGGGGGAGGCTCCAGCCCCGTGAGGAACCAAGCGGCCTCGAGGTAGCCGCGGTCCCCCGCCAACTGGTCGATGAACATGCACTGGCAAGTCAGCAAGGTCTGGACCCTCTCGGGGTTGCCCTCTTCGCAGGCCCGCCACAGCTCGGCGCTGAGGAAGGCAAAATGCGTCAACAACTCGTGCGTCGACGGCTGAGCCCCGAGGGGGCTGCGCTCGCGAAAGTACTGATGCATGGCCATGGGGGTCACGGCGCTGACTTCCACGCCCAGGACGCGGGCCAAATTCTCCTTCATCAGTCCTCGCACGTCGGGGCCGTGCTGCATCAGCACTTGCTGCCACTCGCGCCTCCGAGCAATTCCCCCCATCTGAGCTGATGCGTGCGCGTGGTCGCCCGAGCTCGTGGGCGGAGATTGAGCTTGGTCGCTCAGGGTCCCCAGAAGCGGATGGACGGCTGGGCGACGGCCCCGCCCCTGCTGCAATAAAAGGGACTGGTGCAGGCACTGAAGCATGAGGCTGAAGTCCGTCGGATTGGCCGCATGGGGCGGCTCTGACCCGTCGGCGCCGCCCGCCTCGGCAAAGCCGTCGACCGCAGCGGGATGGGCTAGCCCAGGCGGCGGCGGGGGACCCATCGGACCGAAAGCGGACGAAGGGGCCTGAGGGACAGCAAGGGAGCGCGCCTTTTCCCACGCCGAGACCAGCGCGGAGGTCGGACCCTTGGGCCGCGCGGAGACCCGCTGTGGGGCCACGGGCGCGTGGGACAGGACGGCCTCGATCCCCGCAGGATCCAGTCCGAGGCGCGCCGCCTCGTCGCTGAAAAGCTGAGGCACCTCGGGCCGAACACTCCGGGCAGCCGGGGCGGGGCCCAGCGGCTCGGGTCCGCCGACCATCGTGGAGGCCGCGTGGGCTGCAAGCAGGGCGCGCATTTCGGCAGCTACCTCGGCGCGGGTCATGGGAGCCCCGTCGTCCAGAGACGCCGCAGGAGCACCAGGAGCAATCGGAGCAGGACCCGCGACCCGCGGCGGCGCGGCGGCGCCAGCGCGCTTGGCGGGCGGGCCGCGCGGCGCTCCAGCGACCGCGGGGGCTCGCGCACTTGGGGCCGCGCGGTCGGCTTCCCCGTCGGCCGCGAACCCCTCGGGCTCCTCCATCACGTCGGCAGAGTGGTAGGGGGTAGCCCGATCGGCCCCTGGGAGAGGCTCTTCCCCTGCGGTAGGCGGGGCGCCGTGCAAACGAGCGTAGCCCTCGCGAAGCACCCGAACCCCCGAAGGATGCGGCCAATAGACGCGGCAGCGCACCTCGGCGAAGGGAACGATGCCTGCGTCGTCGCCGACCTCTAGAGGGTACAGCGACTCGAGCTCGAGCTCGGCAACCTCGATATCTATAACGAGGACGGATGCGGTAGTGGCGAGCGGCCGTGAAGCGGCCCCCTGGAGCTGGACGTCCACTAGCTGGAAGGGGCCTATCATCCAGCAAAGCCATCCGCCTCGGCAGCCTCGAGCTCCGCTGTAGAGCGAAAGGCACCAGGCAGGGCCAGCAGGATGCCCCCTTCTCGAGAGGCGAGGGGGATAGCCGCCCAGCTGGTGTCGCCTTCGTCTAGGCGCCATCGTGCGTAGTCGCGCGCCGTGGGCGCAGCGAAAGGGTAGAGCTCGGGCCAAAGGGGCCCTCCGCCAACTGGTGGCAGCTCCGCCATCAATGGGCGCCGCCGTGGAAGCCGCCGCCCGCACGCTGGGCGTCTGCCCGCTCGAGCGCTTGAGGTCGAGGCGGAGCCCCGTAGGCCAGCGCTCGCGCCGCACGGCGGTCCTGCTCAGGTGAAGCAGTAACCGCGCCGCGCGGCCAGGCGGAGGGCCAGAGCCTCCGCCACACGTACGGGCCCAGCAGCCCGAGGCAGCAGCCCGCGCAGGCGCTGCAGGCGGCCGTCACCCAGAGGAGGGCGACGACCGTGCTGAGCAGCCAGGGAGAGACCCCGCCGCTCAGATCCACCGCCAGCCCGAGGCAGACGGTGGGGCAGGCGGAACCCGCCGAAGGGAGGGGGCAGTAGGCCCCCTCACCCTCGGACGAGTCCGCCTGCGGGATGGACCAGGCAGGCGCAGGAGGCCCCTGGTCCTGAAGCACAGAGAGGGGGGCAGCCACGAGTCGCTCGTAGAGCGCGGCCCGCAGCCCCCTGAAGAAGATCTCCCCAGCGCCCTCGAGAGCCGCTTGTGCGACCGCCTGCATAAGGCGCCCGCACGCGCGGCCGACGGGGGGGCACTTGGGCAGAGAAGCTGCGGAGACAGCAGGAGCTTGCTCACAGAGAATAGAAGAGGCATTATTATCATCAGCATCATCATCAGCATCATCACCATCACCATCACCATCATCATAATCATCACCATCATCATTACCATCATCATCAGCATCATCAGCATCATCATCAGCAGCATCATCATCAGCCGAATCATCATCATCATCCTCATCATCATCAGCATCATCATCCTCATCATCACCGTCAGCATCATCATCACCATCACTCATCACTAGCATCAGAATCATCATCATCATCAGCAGCATCAGCATCATCACCATCATCATCACCATCAGCAGCAAGAGCAGAATCATCATCATCATCATCATCATCATCATCATCATCATCACCACGACCGCCACCGCCTCCTCCACCAGCACCATAACCATCCGAATCATGATCATCGTCATTATCATCAGCATCATCATCTTCAGCATCACCATCATCATCACATTCAGCATCATCATCATCAGCATCATCATCGACATCCTCATCATCATCGTCATCATCATCATATGCGTCATCATCATCATCATCATCATCATCATCATCATCATCATCATCATCATCATCATCATCATCATCATCATCATCATCATCATATACGTCGTCGTCGTCGTCGTCGTCGTCGTCGTCGTCGTCGTCGTCGTCGTCGTCGTCGTCGTCGTCGTCGTCGTCGTCGTCGTCGTCGTCGTCATCGTCATCGTCATCGTCATGATCATCATCCTACCGCTCCTTTCCTTCTCCCTATTATGCTGCCCCCCACCCATCTCCCCATCCCTCCTTCTCTCCACCTCTCATTCTCTCTCTCCTCCTCCTTTTCATCCCCCTCCTCCTCATCATTAGCAGCAGCATCAGCGTCCTCCTGCTCGCTCGTTGCTCCTCTCTCGTCCATCCTCCATCCTCCACCCTCCTCCGCCCTCCCCGTCCTCACAAGCATGATCGTCCTCCTCCCACCTCCTCCTCCTACCTCGTCCGCGGCAACGAGTGCCACCGATGGCCTGGCTCGGGCCGAGCGATTTCTTCAGCTCCTGGAACACCCGATCGGACAGGGACGCCGCGTCGCCTGGCCTGCCGACTTTTCTCAGGAGCAGGGCGAGGCCGCTGCACGCGGACAGCGTGGAGATGTGCCTGGCGCCCCTCTCCTTTAGGGGATATGGGGGGGGGAACTCGCCTCTTCCTCCTCCTCCTCCTCCTCCTGCTCCTCCTCCTCCTCCACCTCCTCCTCCCTCCTCCTCCCCTCCTCCTCCTCCTCCTCCTCCTCCTCCTCCTCCTCCTCCTCCTCCTCCTCCTCCTCCTCCTCCTCCTTGCCTCTTGCCCCCTCCTCCCTGTCGCATCCCCCATGCCGATGGCTTTCGGCAGCCCCTGGGGTGGCTGCTGTGCAGGACGCACGGGGCGCCGGCAAGGGTGTGCGCATGGCGCACGCTCGAAAAGCACCTGCATGGGCATGTTTTGAAACCAGGGGCGAGACGAGCACACGAGGTACCTACCTCGAGGACAGCAAGACCGGATGTCCTGCGCGCTTCGGAGTCACCACTTCGATGCTGTTACCTCGAGGCATCCACCCCCACGTCTTCACCACGAGGCTTCCAACTCGCCGAAGACAACCTCAAAGTCTTCACCGCGACGGCTCCACCTCGAGGACTTCACCTCGAGGCCTTCACCTCGCTGTCTTCACATCGAGATCTTTATCTGGAGCGCCTCGAGGTCTTCATCTAGGCGTCTTGGCACAACCCATGCTTAACCCCCGTCGCGGGGCAGTTGCCTCAGGGACACAATCCAGCGGCCCTGCACACTCTCACCACCCGTTGCGAGGCAGCGGCCTTAAGGACACAGCACGGCGGCCAAGCTGGCGGCACTGCACACCCTAAACGCCTCTCTGCTTACCACGTTGCGTACCATTTTGGACGCTGGCTGGCGGCGGTGCGGGCTTTCGTGAAGCCACAATTCTGCGCGCTTGCCCCCGTCGCGAGGCAGTGGCCCCAAGGACAGAGCCAGGCGGCAAGGCTGGCGGACCTGCACCCTCTTGCGTCTATCCGCTACCACGGTCCATTTCCTCTTCGCCGCTCCCACGATTCGTCTCTTGGACGCTTGCTGGAGGGGCTGGAGGGGCTGGAGGGTGGAGGGTGTGCCGGCTTTCGTGCATCCACAAATTCTGCGCGCCTACCTCCGTCGCGAGGCAAGTGCCTCCGTCGCGCAGCCGGGCGACAAGGCCCGCGGTCCTGCACACTCTCACGTTTCCCTGGATACTGTTCGCCGCCAGCCGGCGGCCGTGCCGGCTTTCGTGTATCCATGGATCCTGCTCGCGTATCCCCGTCACTGGGCAGCTGCCTCAAGGACGCATTCTGCTGGCAAGGCCAGTGGTCCTGCACACTCTCACGTCTAGCCATTGACCACTGCCGTCAACTTGCGCGCCGATCTCTGTCGCGAGGCAGCTGCCTCAAGGACAAGTCCGGCGGCAGGGCCACCGGTCCTACACACTCTCACGTCTCTCTGGTTTCCCGGTTCGTCTCCCTCGGGGTAATGTCGTGGCGAGGAACGCAGAAGGAGGGACCACCGTCCCACCCCCAACCACCCCCTCTCAAGGGAAGGGTGGGGGGAGGGCATGTTGTGCATACAATTCCCCTAATTTGTTTCTGAGGGTAGCTAGGTTTCTTGGTAGCCACCTGCCCCCGGCTGCTCGGAAGTAGTGATCAACAGGGATGCACACACTACTTGTTGAAAGCTATGCTAAACCCACGCAAGGCACAGCACGGGCCCACTGGGCATCGCCTGTGCGGTCGAAGGCTGGGTCTCACCCATGGCTGCGGCACAAGGAGGCCTAAGTCACGGATCAGATGCTAGTTCCACCTCGCTTCAAAAACAAGTTAAGCCACGAACGGCTGCAGATAGAGAACACTCCGCGGCAAATGGGCACAGGAACGTTGCACAGGTCTGTCGGTCCCTTGCATTCTCCGCTTTGCCCCTATGCTCAATCATCCCCCTAGTGCTAAGAGGCTACTCTGGGTTTCTAAATAAGCGTGGTGGGGAACCCCCTCGACGGGAGTCAACCTCGCCTCGTAGTCGCGCTGCGACGGGGTTCGGAGCGCCTTCGGCGCGCGGTGGCTGCCCGCGACGGGGGTCAATGTGGGGCTCTCGGCAGGGGTGACGCCCCCCCGACGCTTATTAAAGTACCCTTCGCGCACGAACGCTACAGAAACCCTGAGTACCCGAAGCCCCCTTGCGCGCACGAACGGCTACAGAAAGAAAGAACCCTCCGCGGCAGAGGGGCACAGGAAGGTTGCACAGGTCTGCAGGCTCCTTGCATTCTCCGTTTCAACTTCGGGGCCCCCTGAAACCGGCATTGCCCCTATGCTCAATCAGCCCCCTCGTGCTACGAGGCTACCTTTCGGCCACTTTGCGCGCACGAACGGCTACAGAAAGAAAGAACCCTCCGCGGCAGAGGGGCACAGGAGCGCTGCACAGGTCTGCAGGCTCCTTGCATTCTCCGTTTCAGTTTCGGGGCCCCTTGAGACCAGCACCGCCGCTGTTCTCAATCAGTCACACAGCCGGGAAATCAATGTCACTGGTAACTGTCGGGGAAATCACACCGCGAATCCCACCATGATCTAAAATTGCTGCAATCGATGGCCACCGAGAGGCGCACTTGCGGGCCACGCGCGCAAAACAGCGTTTGGGCGCGCCGGCCAATACGCAGGCAAATGCACTTATATTCTAGGGATGCCTACCCATCCTCGGAAGGATCGCGTGGCAGCAAACTTCGTACCATTTTCCGTACTCCATTCGTCACCTTCCCAATTCCCCTCCGAAAGGGGGGCCAAACGCTGCTAAATCTCTATCATGGCCGCGCGACCGATAAGAAAGCCTCAACCTTGCCGCTTCTCTGCGATTCGGACGCGTGCTTCACGCCCATACTCGATCAATCAATCCTCTGGTGCGCCCAGTGCGCACTAAGGTCCAGCTGCACCAATCGCACATCACAAAGACCAGGGTGAATACATCCCCTGGTTGGCGAGGCCCCAAATCCCAGAGAGTGGCCTTTCTCGAAAGAGGAAAAGATGTCGTGTAGATATGCATTGTGGGTCATCTTGTGACCGACTTGGGGCCTCTCTTGACCCTCTGGAGGCCTTCCTGCTGCTATGGCAAGTTCCAGCATGAAGATCCACGCTGTTGATTTCACTTGTGAGCCATCCTGTGATTGCAGTGGGGGCCCTCTTGGGACCCTCTTGCGGCCTTCCTGCGACTCTGGCAAGTTCCTAACCAAGAACGACCTCGTTCCGTATGGTCTGGACCACAGCCCCTGGCCATTCGCACCATCGGACCACCGTGCCCTTCAGGGTGGAGACTCCAGGAAACTGGGCCCACTGACGGAGCTAAGGCGCCCAAAGCCACATGACCTCAACTCCCGGTCACACCCCTCGTGCCATCCCGCCCGCTCGCTCGCCCTCCCTCCCTCCCCTCCTTCCTGCCTCCTCCTGCCCCGCATTCCTCGTCCTCGACCTCCTCAACTCCTTCCTCTTCCCCTTCCTCCCTCCGTCCCTCTTCTCCTCCTCTTCTGCCACAATCCCACGGAGGGGGGGCGGGCCACGTTCATCACGTGGCGCTCGCCTCAGCGCCGCGCACACTCGTCGTGAAAGTTTGCAACTGCGTCACGGAGGGGAGGGCTGGTCCCTCTCAAACGGTGACGATTGCTTCCACGCCGCGCGCACCTGTTCAAAAGGTGTGCAACAATTTGGCGGATGAAGGGCGGGTGGTGTTCAAAATGTGGCTCTCGCCTGAGCGCCGCGCACACTCGACTTTGAAAAGTTTGCAGTGTGCACGCTTCGGCTGGAATCCAGGCATGGTGCTCCGAGAGAAGTCGGGACTGCCAAGGCGCAACGACCACGCTGAGTCGCTGCATTGAAATCCCAGGCATGGCGCCCCCGCACGATGCAGACTTGTCAGGCCGCAACAATCACGCTAACTCGCAGCGCTGAAATCCCAGGACCAATGTTTTGGCACGATTGAGGATTATCAAGCGATAATCTGTCCGATGGGAGACTTCACGCGATGAATATACCATTACTCTGGAAACCTATGAAAAAAGGAGTTTGGAGGGTAGGTGTATGGCGACACCGTTGATGCGCTTTGGGTTTGTGCTGCTCCCCCCATCCTCATTCCCAGTACCATAGTCGTCAACATCAGCATCATCCTCATCATCATCATCAGCAGCATCATCACCATCATCAGCATCATCATCAGCATCATCATCATTAACATCACCATCATCATCATCATCATCATCATCATCATCATCATCATCATCATCATCATCATCATCAGCATCAGCATCAGCATCAGCATCAGCATCAGCATCATCATCAGCATCATCATCATCGTCGTCATCACCATCATCACCACCATCAACATCAGAAGCATCAGCAGCATCAGCACCACCATCCTTTTTATCGTCACACTCACATCATCATCATCATCATCAATTGCATCGTCATCACCGTATTTGGCGTCACATGTTTCATCGTCCACCTCTTCGTTGCCATAAACATGATCATCACCCCATCAGCATCATGAGCATTGCCATCGTCATTACCATCATCATAACATGATCGTAGTGCGCGTCGCCATCATACGCATGACCAGTAGAACCCCACCTCATCAGCATCACCATCAGCATCAGCAACTTCATCATACATCCATCTCCTCCTCATCATCTTCATCATCTTCATCCTCCGCCTCCGCCCCCGCCGCCGCCTCACCGTCAAATCTCGGGACTACAGACGTCAATGCTGCTTCTGTTGCTGGCGCCCTCGATCAGTCGAGACGTGGCCCCGACCCCGAAAGCAACCCCGCCGGAAGAAAAACGCGGTGCGCGGTCGCGAGATGGTACGCGATGTATGGTAAAGCGCGGCATGGCATAGCGTTGAAGAGCACGGCAGAGCGTAGCATGCCATAACATGGCGTGGCATTGCTCAGTGAAGCATTGCATCACAAAACATTGCACCGCAAAGCATGGCATCGCACAGCGGCGCAGGACACAACACCGCACAGCACGTCATGGCATGGCGCCGGGTTCCTTCGCGGGTAAGTGGATGATAATCTTCGAGAGGTCTGGGCCGGTCTGGAGTCGTGGCTCCATGTCTAGCTCCTTGGGCTCCCTGAAAAGCTCCACACAAGGCGGGGCTGATGGAGAGCACCCGCTAGCTCTGCTTCCAACATCGCCTTCTCAAAGCAAAAACGGGGCTCCTGCTTGATACTTCCTGAAACGACGACGCCCCAAAGTGAGGGGGGTTCGGGGGCCCAAAAAATCGACGAGAATCGGCACAGAATGTGTAATCGTTTCCGATGCTTTTTCCAGGGGGGCATTTTCTAAATCTTGGGGCTTATTTGGAAAGACCGACAACGCCAGCGCTGCAGCGGGAGCACGATTTGGAACACAGAGGCGCAGAAATGGGGCCAGCGTTTCAGCGGGAGCAACATTTCAACAACAAAACCACGCGAAAACCCATTTCCCGGGAACCATGGGTAAAAAACAATACGCGGAGGCGGGCCGAACATCTTCATCATGGGAGAAAGGAGAGCAGCTTTCATATTATGTGATTGCGGAGGGGAGAGGAAGGAGAGGGGGGGAATGGGAGGAGAGGAGGGGGGGGGGGGGAGAGGGGAGGGAGCTTCGCCTCCCGCTGCCCCCATCTTTCACCTCCCCCCTCCCCCTCCCCGGCCCCCACGGACGCGCAAGAGAGGCCGGGGAAGGGCGGGGGGGTGCAGAGGGGAAAGGGGCGGGGAGGAGAGGGGCGGGGAGGACAGGGGCAGAGGGGACAGGGAGGACAGGGGGCATGGGGGACAGGGAGGAGTGGGCACGGGTCCAGGGAGGACAGGGGCACGGGTGCAGGGAGGAGCGGGCCCGCAGGGACGCGCAAGAGAGGCGGGCGAGGGGGCAGGGAGGCAAAGGGGTGTCGGTGCAAGGAGGAGCCGATGTCCTTGGTGCGCGCCGCCAGGACGCGTCGGTACAGCGCCTCGGCCTCTTCGACCTGAGGTGACAGGAACGAGAGAGAGAGAGAGGGATAGGCAGGCGAGAAACGCAGAAAAAGAGAGAGAGAGAGAGAGAGCAATGAGAGAGAGAGGTGGTAAAACAAGGCATGGCACTAAACATGATATAAACAACAAAAAACTGGAGGGAGGAACAAGGACGAGGAGGATGAGGAAGATGAGGGGAGAGAAGAGGAATCGGGAGACGGGGGAGCGGAGGAAGAGGGGGAGGAGCGGGAGAAGGGAGAGGAGGCAACGAATGCAGGAAGAGGAGAAGCAGCGGGAGGCAGAGGCGGAGAGCAAGCCTGAACAAATCAACGAGGTGGGGAACCTGTCTAGTCACGGGCCACATGTCCGCCAGCCACTCCGCAGCCGTCAAGGTGTCTGGATGGTCAGCTCCCATCCGGTTCTCCAGGTCCAGGAGCTTCCTCCTCGGAAGAGGGAGGAGGAGAAGAAGGGAGGAGGAGGGAGGAGGAGGAGGAGTAGTAGTATGAGGGAGGAGGAGATGAGGAGGAAGGGCGGAAAGAGGGAGGAGGAGGAGGAGTAGAGAGGAGGAGGAGGAGGAGGGAGGAGAGTGAGAGGAGGATGGAGGAGGAGGAGGAGGAGGAGCGCGTTTCTTTATGTTCGGCGATGACGGGCGTCATGGGGGGGGGGAGGGCGAGGGGGGGATACCGCGCCCGCGCGCACGACGCGACGAGCGACCAGCGACGAGCGACGAGCGACGAGCGACGACGACGACGCGAGCAGCATGTAAGTGGCGATCTGCCCATTGCGCCTATGTACACCACAACGCTCGCGTGCACCACACCGCGCGTGTGCACCACAGCGCCTGCGTACACCGCAACAGCCGTGTGCAACGCACCGCCCGTATATACCACAATACTTGGGAGCACTACAGCGCCGGTGTACATACACCGCAGCAGCCATGTGCAACACAACGCCTGTGTACACTACAGTGCTTGCGTGCACCGCAGCGCTTGTGCACGCCACAGCTCTTGTCTACACCACAGCATCCGCGTGCAACGCAGCGCTGGTGTACACCACAATGCCTGCGTGCACAGGACAGGTAGAAGGAGCATGTACGTCAGGATCCGCTGCGGACAACTAAACGCCACGCCAGGAAAGTTCTGAGAATCGAATGCGACGTTTTTCCCTCCTCCCTCCTCCTCCTCCACCTCCTCCTCCTCCTCCTCCTCCTCGTCCTCCTCCTCCTCCTCCTCCTCCTCCTCCTCCTCCTCCTCCTCCTCCTCCTTTTCCTCCTTCTTACCCCCTGTCGTGCGGTTCGGCGTTACAACGCACGTGCGCATGCCAGCGTGCACTGCAGAATGGTCGATTGAATCGGTCCATTTGGTTTTCGGGCGGCCAGTTTAGCTGGAGCCTCCTGGACGCAAATGGGACTTAGGGTGATGTGGGCGGACTCGGGGGGACTCGTAGATTCCAGCGGCGCTCCTTTGTCCATGAGGATTGGTTTTCCATTGTTTTCTGTGGAATCCACACGCGCTCCATTTTGTCACAAGGACCCCTTCTGAAACTCTATACACAACAATGGTGCTGTGTTGCACACGGCTGATGTGGTGCACATAGGCGCCGTGGCGTACACAGGCACTGCAATGCACGCAGGCATTGTGGTGTACACTGGTGCTGTGTTGCGCACGGCTGATGTGGGGTACGGAGGCGCTGTGGTGTACGCAGGAGCTGCTGTGCCCGCAGGCACGGTGGCACAAACTGACGCTGTGTTGCACGCGGCTGCTGTGGTGTACATCGGCGGTGTGGTGTACACAGGCGCTGCGGTGCACGCGGGCGCTGTGATGTACACAGGCGTTGTGGTGCAGATGGCCACCTACATGTTCGTGCTACCCGTCCTCCGTCATTCCTAAGCATTCCCAGACGCCGCCGGCGCGAAACGTGACGTCATCGACCCCTTCCCCCCCAGATGATTGCCGTCACAGGCTCGGACTAAAAAACAGGCTCCGGCCGCGTCCGCGCGCACAACGACGATGAGCGACGAGCGACGAACCACGAGCGACGACGACGACGACGACGACGACGACGACGACGACGACTCCTGCGGACCAGACACCTATGCGGATTCCTACGCGGACACCTACGCGGATCCCAATGCGCACGGCGGCAGTGCCCGGAGCGCACTGGGGGGGGGGAGCGTTACGTCATAGGGGGGGGGGGAGCGAAGGCCATGACGCCCGTCATGCCCCAAGCAATAAAGAAACGGGCTCGAGGAAGGGCGGAAGGAGGAGGAGGAGGAGGAGGAGGAGGGAGGAGGAGAAGAAGGGGCCTCCCGGCTCCTCGGCCATCACCAGTGTGTTTGAGCGCATCGCAGGGGCGCCAGCGAGGCTACGTCTAGGTCGGGCCTGTCCCCCTACAGGGAAATTTTGAGCGAAAAATCAAACATACTTTATATATATACTTTATATATATATATACACATACATACGAGAGAGCGTGATCCACCGCCGCTTTACTGTGGAAAATTGCCGCCCTTTTCCTCCGGAACCCGGGGGTCCCCCCCCCTCCGAAAAACCCCCCCCCTGCTGGAACCCTCCCCCCCCCCCCTTCCCCCGGCCCCCCCCCCCCGCCCCCCCTAACCCCCCTTTCCCCCCCCCCCTCGAGCTCGAAAACCGGGGGGGGTCACTACCGGTTCGAACCCCCCCCCCCCTCGAAAACCGGAGGGGGGGGTCACTACCGGTTCGAACCACTGAGCTGTCCCACTGTTCCCACCACTGTCCCCACTGTCCCTACCACTGTCCCCACTGTACCTCTTTCCCATTGTCCCACCGCCGTCCTCGCCACCGCCTTCACCACTGTCCCCACCACCACTGTACCCTCCACTGTCCTACTGTTTCCACCACATTCCCACTGTCCCCACACCACTGTCCCCACCACCACCGTCCCCACCACTGTCCCACTGTCCCCACTGTTCCCACCATTGTCCTCACCATTGTCCCCACCACTACAGTCCCCACCACCGTCCCTGTCCCCACCACTGTCCCGCTGTCCCCTCACCACTGTCCCCACCACCACCGTCCCCCACCACTGTCCGCACCCCCCTTCAGTTTTCGAGGGAGGGGGGGGGGTTCGAACCTGTGGTGACCCCCCCCGGTTTTCGAGCTCGAGGGGGGGAGAGGGGGGGTTCGAACCGGTAGTGACCCCCCCCCCTTCATGATGAACTGGGGGGGGGGGGAGGGGGGTTCGAACCGGTGGTGACCCCCCCTGGTTTTCCGGGGGGGGGAGGAGGGTTCGAACCGGTAGTGACCCCCCCCCCGGTTTTCCGCTAGCAGCGGTAGAACACGCTCTTTCATATATATATATATATATATATATATATATACATATATACACACACAAAAAAAAATTGGCAGAAATAGTCCAACAGACCGTCCCCTGACTATTTGTTGACTATCTTTGGAATACTCCTCCTGTAGAGGGACAGGCCCGATTTAAAGGCCACGTGGCTGCGGCCACGGCGCGCCACACACTGCAAGCAGGAGAGGCATCTAACTCCATGCCACCCGACTCTGCGCACGGCGCTGCACGAGGCGTGACGCGCGATTGCCTTCCCGCCCTCGCGGCCTCGCGGCACTCCCCTGGAGAAGCTCTGGCCCAGAACGCGGCGCGCGAAGCGCGATAACCCTCTCGCGACTAGGGGCAACCTGGCTCACGGTCGCCACCCGCAGTCGGGGAGGCAGTACTAAGACGAAGCCAGGACCAGGACAAACTCGGGCAGGGACGAATCAGCGAACTCTGAAACCTGGTGGCTCTGGAAGATGCATTACTCCTCCTCCTCCTCCTCCTCCTCCTCCTCCTCCTCCTCCTCCTCCTCCTCCTCCTCCTCCTCCTCCTCCACCTCCTCCTCCTCCTCCTCCTCCTCCTCTTCCGCCCTCCTCCTCCTTCTCCTCCTCCTCCGCCTCCTCCTCCTCCTCCTCCTCCTCCTCCTCCTCCTCCTCCTCCTCCTCCTCCGCCTCCTCCGCCTCCACCGCCTCCTCCCGCCTCCTCCTCCTCCTCCTCCTCCTCCTCCTCCTCCTCCTCCTCCTTCCTCCTCTCTCCTCTCCTCCTCCTCCTCCTCCTCCTCCTCCTCCCTCCTCCCTTTCCTCCCTTTCCCCCTTTCTCCCTTTCCCTTCTCCTCCCTTTCCTCCCTCCTCCTTTCCTCCTCCTCCTCCTCCTCCTCCTCCTCCTCCTCCTCCTCCTCCTCCTCCTCCTCCCCTCCTCCTCCTCCTCCTCCTCCTCCCTCCCTGCCTCCCTCCCTCCCTCGTCCTCGCTCCTCCTCGTCCTCGCCGTCGTCCTCGTCGTCGTGGTCCTTTCCTACAACAAGAAAGACAAGCATTACCCCAGTGCGACCCTACCTAGAAGCTGGAGCCCCGAGGAAAGCAGCATTAGTTGCTATGCTATGCTGTGTTATGCTATGCCATGCTATGCTGCGCTATGCTATGCTATGCTATGCTATGTTATGCTGCGCTATGCTATGATATGATATGATATGAGTTGCTAAGCTATGATATGCCATACTGCGCTGTGCTATGCTAAGCTATGATATGATATGATATGATGTGCTGTGATATGCTAAGATGCGCTATGCTACGCTATGCTATGATATGACATGCTATGTTATGCTGAGCTATGCTATGCTATGCTATGCTAAGGTATGCTATGATATGATATGATATGATATGATATGATATGATATGATATGATATGATATGATATGATTGGCTATGTTATGCTATGATATGATATGCTATGTTAATGCAGCGCTGCGCTATGTTAAGCTAAGCTAACCCTCTAGGCAGAGCCTAGGTAAGGCTCGATGACCCGGAAAAGGCCTCCGGACTTGAGCCGAAATGGTTACGGAAGGCACTGCTTGCGGGGGCTCCGGTCCGGCCATCGAGGCTAGCTCAGCATCTGTCGCACATTGCTTTTGCTTTGCCTTTCCGTTGCTTTGCTTTTGATTTTGCTTTGCTTGGCTTTGCGTTGCTTGTGCTTTGCTTTGCTGTCGCTGCTGTTGCTTTGCCTTTGCTTTGCTGCTGTGCTATGCTATGCTCTGCTATGCCGTGCTATGCTATGCTGCGCTGTGCTATGCTGTGCTGTGCTGTGCTGCGCTATGCTATGCTATGCTAAGCTATGCTGCGCTATGCTATGCTATGTTATGTTATGCTATGCTATGCTATGCCATGCTGTGCTGCGCTATGCTGTGCTACGCTATGCTATGCTATGCTGTGCTCTGCTATGCTAAAGTTCAGCGAAGCTATGATGAAGGTAAGCTAAGCTAAGATAAACCTGAGCTAAGATGAAGCTAAGCTAAGCTAAGATGAAATTCGCCGGCCCAACGGGCCAGAGGCGTGCTAAGATCTCCGGTAACTGGTAAAACACTATTTCTAGTTCGCGCGCGCGGGGCTGCCCCTGGGGGTCCCTGGATCAAAAGTACCCCGGGCGGAGCCCGGGACACTCCCCCAGATCCTCCAGGATCGCCCCAAGAGGGCCCCAAGAGGCCCCCAACACAATCCAAGAGAGGTCCGAGACGCCCGAAGATCGCTCCACGGCGCCCAAGATGGCCTCCAGACGGCCCAAGACGTCTCCAAGATGACCCAACAAGCCTCCAAGATGCCCCAAGAGACCTCCAGGAGCACTCCCAAGAGGGCCCCAAGAGGCAAAAATCAATGTTTTTCTTAGGTTTTGGACAGATTTGGGCGTTTCAACCTTTTCGGTTCCCCGACGCCCCTAAACGGCTCAAGAGGCCTCCAAGATCGCCCCAAGAGGGCCCAAGAGGCCCTCAAAAGGGCCCCAAGACGGCCCAAGACGGCTCCAAGACGGCCCCAGAGGCCTCCAAGACGGCCCAAGAGGGCCCCAAGAACGCCCCCAACACGGTCCAAGAGAGGTCCGAGACGCCCGAAGATCGCTCCACGACGCCCAAGATGGCCTCCGGACGGCCCAAGACGTCTCCAAGATGGCCCAAGAAGCCTCCAAGATGCCCCAAGAGGCCTCCAAGAGAACTCCCAAGAGGGCCCCAAGAGGCAAAAACCTGTGTTTTTTCCTTTGGTGTTGGACAGATTTGGGCGTTTTAACCTTTTCGGTTCCCCGACGCCCCTAAACGGCTCAAGAGGCCTCCAAGATCGCCCCAAGAGGGCCCAAGAGGCCCCCAAGAGGGCCCCAAGACGGCCCAAGACGGCTCCAAGACGGCCCCAGAGGCCTCCAGGACGGCCCAAGAGGGCCCCAAGAACGCCCCCAACACTACACAGCTCCCGACGCCGCAGCTCCACACTGCAAACGACCACTCGGACAGGCGACCACGGTGCGACATTATGGGCCGGCGGAATGAGCGAGGCGATTAAATATAAGCTAAGATGAGATAAGCAACGCTAAGCTAAAGATACGTAACTGGGGGAACCGCGGGGCGGATGCCGGGGGAACCGCCCGGGGCGTTTCACACTGCCCGGCCCCTTTAAGATATAGGGTAAGAACCCTCTTGGCAGAGCCTAGGTAGGGAATAAGCACCCTTTCTGTCAGAGGTCTGCGCCAGGGACGGCGCCGGAGGCGCCGCAAGGGGGGTCCAGCGCCGATGCAAAAATCCGCGCGGACCGCCGGAGGCATATCGTTGAGCAGCTTTGCCTTCTGCGAGTCTCCCCCTCCCCCTGCCCTCTGGGACTCCGGCGGCTCGCCCACCCAGCCCAAATCCGCTCAAAATTAATACCTGGACCCCTCCTGGGATCCACGCTGACCCAAACTTCGAGACCCAGCCCTGGCGACGAGAAGCCTCCGGTCAGGAGGCCCAGAAAGGTCGAAAAGCAGCAGGGCGGGCCGCAGTAACTGTCTCGGCCAGCCTCCCTTCCGAACCTGCCCTCTCCCTTCCCGCCCGCTCTCGCCAGGACTCTGGCGTCGCTTTTTGTTCACAGCGTGACCCCCAGGGGTCTAGAACCCATCCACGGGACCAAATCTTCATCCTAAGCCGTTTCTCGCCGGTCCCGGACCCCAGCGAAGGCCTGTGGAGGCTGAAAGCTGCTCAAAACCTTCCGTGGTGAGGTCTTCACGACGGAAGGATGTCCAGCACTCGGATTCTATCACTCGGGTTCCCGGCGACCGTCTGGGACGATGCGGGCACCCCCAGAACGCCCTGGGCGAGGCGAGGCTACAGGAGACCACCTCGAAGCTGGAAAACATCGGGGCGCCCACGAAAACGCGCCCGTCGGGACGTCCTGCCCCGCGGCGAATTTGCTGGGGGGGGGTGTTGGGTGGCAGGTTTGGTGTTGTGGATGCCATGACAATAGGCACTCTAACAATCCGATCACTGATTTAAACATGTGCTTAAACTGTGTATAAAATGTTCGAGCATGTATCAAACATGTGTTTGCAGATTTTTACATGCGTGATACATGTTTGAAACATCTACAAACTATTTGGCAGCACGCTTCCTCCCCATGACTCGACTTCGACAAGCTTGGTGGGTGGTGAGCACACATCTCGATCGCCCCGATCCTCTGGACCGCCGCGCCATCCCCGGACAGCTCGGCCGCCCGGCCCTTGAGGCCAGGGTCGAGCAGGAACGCGGCCACCGACCTGCTCACGGAGGAGGAGGAGGAGGAGAAGGAGGAGGAGGAGAAGGAGGAGGAAGAAAAGGGGGATGAGGAGGAGGAGGAGAAGGAGGGGGAGGAGGAGGAGAAGGAAGAAGAGGAGAAGGAGGAGGAAGAGGAGGAGGAGGAACAACAGCAGAAGGAGGAGGACGACAAAGAGGAGGAGGAGCAGGAGGAGGAAGAGGAGTCCGCCACCCGCTGGAGAAGCGATCGCGTTCTAACATGCATCAAGAAGGTGGCACACCGGCCTGAGGGAGGTCGCCACCTGGGGCCAAGGGCGCCCCACAAAACAGAGTTAAAACTCCAGCGAATTCGTTACGAAATCGGCTCGAGCCGCACGGTTCCTGCGCTCCACAGCGCCGGCACCGAGTGCTTCGGCCGCCGCTCGATCTGGAATGCCGAACAACGCCAACCCCCTCGCCAAGTCAACCCCCATCCCGCTAGGAGCCGTCGGGCTCAAGCCTTCGGCAGGCGGGCGTGCGAAGGCGGGATGCTGATGCAGTCCCATCTTGGGCGCCATCCAGGCCCTCGATGTCTCCGAAATAACCGTCGGCCCATCGGCACGAAATCCTTTACGAGATGGACGGTCCCCGCGCAGGATCCAAGACAATTCTCGCTCATGGCCCATCGAGCGCGCTCGCAAGCAGTCCGACGCGAGCGCGCTCCTGCCCCAGTGGCCCCCCATTTGGCTCACGGCTCCGCATGCTGAGCATAAGGCAGTCGAACCAGCCCTCGACCCCTGCGGGTCGAACGCGGCGGCCTCCAAAGCCGAATGCTCACGAGCGGGCCAGGGGGCCGACTCTGGCCACAGGACCGCGGCAGCAGGCCGTCTCCGACGGGGCCGCCGCCTGCTGGGGCGCATCAGGGGCAACGGCGCATTCAACCTCCCCCGCCCACCCCGCTCCGGCCTGCCCGCCATAAGAGGGAAGAGGAGGTAAGGTTGGGTCGAGGTCGAGGTCCACATTCTCCAACCAATCTAGGCTGACGTGGCCAAACATCCTCGAACTACCGATACGAGCCTCCTGCTCAGCCGCGAAACGAGAAACAAGGCGTGCAATTTCGCTGCACCCCTCCACCACCAGGAGGTCCTGGGGGGCAAACCGATCTAATTCAGCACCTCTTTTCGCATAGAGGTCCGCGGCGCGATTGCCCAGCAGCTGCAGGCGGCTCAGTTGCCCTTCCAACGCGCCCCGCTCGGAGAAGTGGGCGGGCACCTTGTGGGCAATGACTCCTTCGAGCTCATCGTGCACACGTTGCCGAAGGCGCGCCCGAGGATTGCGCGGACACGCTGCGGCGGTCGGATCACGGGCCAGATCGGCAGCACCAGAACAATCGATGTAAAGATGGACTCCTGGTGAGACCAGCGCGCGACGCACAGGCGAGCCAATGGCGAAATCCTCGCCGCCTCGAGCAACTTGGCCAGGGGCAACGCCGCGGGGCACGCGCCCCCAAATCGCACGAACAACCCACACACACACACACACACACACACACACCCGTCCGTCGCAACAACCGCCCATCCCGCAGCTCTAACGCGAGGAAGTAGCGGCTCAAATGCGGAGCCGTCCGAGAACACGTGGGACCCCGCCTCCAAAATCAAACCCCCCGCAGGCCAATTGAACATATACACCGCATCGTCCGGAGAGCCCAGCGGGGCCCTAAACCAGCGCGTCGGGCCAGGCAGGACCCCGCGAGCGAAAAGTTCCTGGGCCCGCGGGTGCAAGCTCGAAACGACGCTCGCGGCAGCCCGCAGGTCAGGGCCCAAGCAATCCCTACGCCACTCGGCACGCGCAGGGCACCTAAATCGCCAGTCAAACAGCGCGCCAGGGCTCTCGCCACACAGAAGGCCCAAAGGCGAAATGCCTGGACAGCTCTCGGCGAGCTGCCGCTGGCACCAGCACCGCAATTACGACAATGAGCCGTCCATAAATTCGCATCGTGCGACAGCAAACCCAAGGCTGCTTTGTGGCACATCGGTCCAACCCATTCGCCTCCAAACTGAGACTGGCGAGTCTGCTCATCAGCCGCGATAGCCTCGGCAACAGCTTCACGAACGCGCAACCCGAAAAAGGGGGGCGAGAATAACGAAAGGTGCCAAGACCTCCCAGGGTGATCCACTAGCGATTGGTTGTCGAAATCGAGAAGCCACCGAATCCTGGTCAACGAGAGCACTAGCGCAGCCACAGGTTGGCTGGCGGCACTCCACGGCCTCACCTTGCACGGCATCCTGAAAATCCGAAGCCAAGACAGCCTTCGAAACCGATTGATTCCACCAGACAGATAAGAAGGTTTTGACCGCCGCCGCCGCGACATACGACTGCGGGCCCTCCCGGGGCCCCCACTGAGAAGCAGCGCGAGCCCCAAGGAGGGCCCCTGCTGCAGTGGCCATGGGAGCGGGCCGCAGAAACTCGAAGAGCGCGGAGGGCCGAATTCCCGAAGCCCACGACACGGGCCCCCCAGGTCGCCTTGGCGGCAGGCCCTGCCCCATGAACCCGAGCCACCGCCCTCCCCCCGGCGATGTCCTGGAGCCTGCCAGCCGCGGCACTAGCAGCTGACAGACGGCCAGCCTGCGCAGGCACGCGCCCGCGGCGGCCGTCCGTCGCATCACCGCCCAAGTCGCGATGAGTCGCCGCGAAAAAAACTCACGTCGAACGGCCAATCAGCATCCGACAGCAGCGCCTCGGTCAACTCCACGGCAGAGGAGAGGACGCACGGCTTGCCCATATTGACCGGCAAGCCCAGGCACCCCCTCTCCGCGATGACCGCTTTGGCAGCCTGGGCCAGCTGCCGGGCCACTTTCTGCAGGCCCCCAATGGCGTGGACCTTCGTCGTCGACCAGATTGAGCGGCCTACACACGGGCGTCTCCACAGAGATGGCCCCGAGCACGCAAAGGGCGAGCAGCTTCACGACGCCAGTAGCGCAGGAGCAGCCTGCGACCACCGCGCCGCTGGGCATCACCTCTCTGGACGTCGCTCCAAGCCAGCGCGCTCGCCGCGGGCCGCGGTAGAGCGCGCGCAACGCCCGAGGCAAGCGCCCGTCAAAGCCGCAGTGACGACTGGCCTCCCGCAAGGCCTGATGGGAGATGTTCTCGTAGAACTTCGATATGTCAAAATAGAGCGCGCCGCTGACCACATTGCGGCGTCTGGCATGCACCACAAGCAAATTGTGGATATAGGCAGCCCAGTCCGCCGCCGCGTCGCCGCTCTTGCCCCAGAAGAACGCCGCGCCGACGCTGCGCCCCCAGCGCCGAACGGCCCGCTGGCGGATCCGAGACCAGACCCGGGGCCACGGGCTGAGCAAACCAATCGGCCCACGGCCCTCGTCGGGCGGGGCCTTCGGGGCGAAGACAAACACCGTCGTCCACAGAGACGGCACCAGCGCTTGCTGCTCTCACTCACTGAGGACGCTGGTGAACCTGAGCAGCAATGCCTCCGACTTCTGCTCCAGGGCGCGGGGGTGGAGCGCACCCCATCCCAACCCCGCGCGCATCCCAAAGCTGCTCAGCACTGAGCGGACCTGCCGCACGGAAATCGGGCGCAAGTAAGCTCACGTGGCCCACGCTGCCGCTGGAGACTCCGACTCGCGGGCGGCCTTGGACCAGAGCGGCAGCCACTCGCTCAAGATGGCCTCAGGCGCTGCCGAACCCACCTGCGGCAGGGCGTCGAACCAACCTGCATGCCACGCGGCCTGTGTCGGCTACGGCCGAGGCGCCGAATTCCCGCCACGCCGCGGGCCTCGCAGATGCGCCCGCCTTGCGCCGCCGCTGCAAGTTCTCCTCCAGCAGCCCTTCGAACCAGGCAGCCAGAGGACTACTGCGCTCCACGAGCCCGAGCCACCTGTCGAGCTCCAGAACGGCCAGGGCCTTTGCATCGGAAAGCGCAGCGGGCAGCTCGATCTGCCGGGCCTGCTTGATCAAGCTCCCCCTCAGGCATGCCCTCCTACCCTTAGACCCGGGCTGGGCCTGGCCCGATCTCAAGAGGCTGCGCCAGGTCTCGAGCAGGCCCCACCAAGCCTCGGCGCCGCTCGAACCATGCAGGCGCTGCTTCCGAGCATGCACTTCCGCCGAGGGGCGCTGGACTAAGCGGCGCCCCATTCGAGCGGCCCCGGGAATCACGGGCACGCGTCGCCTCGATGCCGCGGACGCGGATCAAGTGCTGCTCCGCCAGGCCGACCCAGCGGCCGCAGGCGACCTCCAAGTTGCCGAGCGGCTGCAGCAGCTCGGCGCGCCCCCAGCCCCATTCGTCAGCGGGCTGCTCGGCGCGGCAGGCCCCGCTGTCAGCTTCAGCAGCCTTCGGCGAGCCGCCAAGCGTGATGGGCGGCGAGGATCCTCGATCCAGACTTGAGGCATCGTCCAGATCTTCCGAACGCGAGTCGCGACTTGCACGCGCGAGCCCGCGGGAGTGCCAGCATGAGCCACGGCAGCCTCCACGCTGCGGGCCAGGGCCCGCGAGCAGACGAAGACATGATACTCGCTTTCCCCGCAGGTAGGGGCCCCTGGCTGCCCGATGATGCCCCCGACTTCGTCCACCAACGACAGGGTCGCCAAATCCTCGGGGGCCGCGTTCCAATCTGCACCGACGACGTACGGATCGGGGAACTGGCCGAGAACCTCAGCCAACGCGGCCAGGATGTCCAGGTTCTCGCCTGTTGGATCTCAGACGGCACCTCCACCAGACTCGACACGCCCATGTGCGACCCAATGGCCAGGGCAACGCCGCTGGAGACCGCCATGCGGTCTGCGCCAGTGCGGCGGGGAGTGCCACTGGCCAAGTGGAGAGCTTGGCCAAGGCACCACTGCCTGGCGTCGAAGAACCTGGTCTCCCGGATGAAGACTATGTCGAACCGCTGGCCCTGGGCCGCTGACCATTCAAGCACCGAGCGGGCGTCGCCCCACGTATCGCCATCGACGCTGGCAATCGCCAAGAAATCGGACTTGGGCGGCCGCCGCTCTCCGATCAGCTCCTCCAGCTTGAGTGGAGTCTGGCCCGCGGCCCCTCCGCCTGCCCTGGCAGGCGCCTCAGCAGACCCAGGCACGGGCCCAGCGCCCAGCAGCACGCTAGCGCCTGGTAGCCCTCGACGCCCCGCGGCAACGCCGAATGGATCAGCGGCCTCGGCGGCGCCCACGCCAGCGATGCCGCCTCCAGCGCCGCTTGGAGCAGCGCCTGCAACAGCGGCGCGGGCGCCTCCAACGCCGCTCGCCGAAGCGCCGCCAACTCCGCCTCGAGCAGCGCCTGCATCCGCGGCGCCGGAGCCCGGTGCGCTTGGGGGCCCTTCAGCCGCACCGAAAAAGGCACCAGCAGCGAAGCCGCCTCCAGCGCCGCCTCGAGCAGCGCCTGCAGCCGCGGCGCCAGCGGCCGGTGCCCATTGGGGCCCCTCAGCCGCGCAGAACAGGGCACCGGCCGCGAAGCCGCCTCCAGCGCCGCCTCGAGCAGCGCCTGCAGCCGCGGCGCCAGCGGCTGGTGCCCATTGGGGCCCCTCTGCCCCGCAGAAAAGGACACCGGCGGCGAAGCCGCCTCCAGAGCCGCTTGGAGCAGCGCCTGCAGCCGCGGCGCCAGCGGCCGGTGCCCGTTGGGGGCCCTCAGCCGCACAGAAAAGGGCACCGGCCGCGAAGCCGCCTCCGCGAAGGAGGAGGAAGAGGAGGAGGAGGAGGAGGAGGAGGAGGAGGAGGAGGAGGCGCAGGAGGAAGAGGGGGAGGGGAAGGAGGAGGAGGAGGAAAAGGAGGGTGGCGAGGGGGAGAGGAGGAGGAGGAGGAGGAGGAGGAGGAGGAGGAGGAGGGAGGAGGAGGAGGAGGAGGAGGAGGAGGCGCAGGAGAGGGGGAGGAAAAAGGGGTGGGGGGGAGGAGGAGCAAGGGGAGGGGGAGGGGGAGGGGGAGGGGGAGGAGGAGCAGGAGCAGGAGGAGGAGGAGGGAAGAGGAGACTATGACTGCAGATTGCACGATAAGGAGTACCTGTTCTACCGAGCGCAGGTGACTGCGGGTCCACTGCGGGCACGAGTGGTGGCCCCCCTGTCGTGCCCCCACGCCGAGAAGGGGCCGCGGAAAAGGGAGCACACTAGGCAAAGCAACAAGCCGGGATCTATAGGAGACATACTCCAGATTTCACAATAAAAGGGGGGTGGTCTGATTTGGGATGGGGTCAGATTTGAGCTGTCTTGGAGGGTTCCAGTGGGTCTGGGCAAAAAGCCGCCCTTCATGGCTTGTTTGGGGGGGTCTGGAATTGCCCGTCTGTGAGGGTTGTGACCCCCTCCCGTTTATGGCGAAATCTGGGGTACCGTTCGAGTTTGGTGCTCAAGCGAGTCTGCCTGTGCCCCGTGGGTTACAGCACGCAGGCCATGGCTTCACCAACGAGGCCTCGCAATGAAACCGCCGAAGAAGGGGGGGACCAAAATTCGCATACTTCGGCGGGTCCCGTGGATGTCGGCCTTCGCTCCGCCCCAGGGCACATCGGCCTCCCCACGACGCCAAGCGCAAAACACCGCTTTTCGGCGGTGGACAAACCTCCCTTTAGTAGACCTCCCCTTAGTGAAATCGGCCTGGGACCGAAACTGACGGACCTGGACCCGCAAAAATGACGGCCGCGACGCCCTCTCGCGAACCGAAAACGGCCAATTCCTGAGTCGACGTGTCAGGGTAGGAGGTCTGTCCACCCCCGAGCTTTACGACCGTGGCTGCCCAGACCACGGCCCGAGAGTAAAACAGGGCTAGGATCGGGATGAATCGCTCCAGAGCGTTCCGGAGCGCTCTCAGAGCGTTCCGGAACGCTCTGGAGCGGCCGCGGCGCCCAATACATCCTCCAAACCTGCCGACTCTCAGAGATTTCGAGTTCTCCCGATCCGCTTTTGTCCCGATCTTCGCGTCGTTTTAGAGAGCCCCGCCGCCAGGGCAAGAGGCTGGGGCGTGAGGGGCCGGGCGGCGAGGCATGGCCGGCCACGGCACGCCCGGGTCGCCGGCCACGGCGCGCGTCCGGACCTCGGGGCGCCTGCCCGCGCCCGGCGTGTGCGCACTCCGCCGCGGGGGGGGGGGGCAGGAGATGCAGCCTCCGCGCCCCCCGCCAACCCCCCCCGCCGACCCAGGGCTGACTACCTACCAGACCACCCCAACCCAACCCGAAGACCCGAATTTCGGGCTTGGGGGGGGTAAGGGTTCCACGGGTGTGTCTCCGCTGTTTCCCGACCCCCCCCCCCACTGGGAATCGAGGGTAAACCTGAGCCTTCGGGTTGGGTTGGGGTGGTTTGGTGGGTGGTGAAGGGCTGTCCGAGACCTCACGGCCGTTGAGCGACTTGCCCAGCTCGAGGGTGCTCAGGGTGCTGCCCTCAGCTTACAGGCAACGCGCTACGAGTTCGACTGGTCACAGCTTGGAGGAAGAAGCTACCTGAACCGAATCGTATCCTCAGCATCCGACGCACCAGTGAACACCATCGAGACTACAAGGCGCATCATCCACCTGGACCAACTCATCGAGAGCAAGGTTAGGCCAGCGGCGTCGGCCACAGTGAATGAGCCCGCCTCCATACACTTCTCTGGGAAGCCTGGCAAGGGCTGCTAAATCCGTGGCTGCTAAAATCGACCTCCGGGAAGTTGTCTTCGTCTTACGGGAAGAAACCCCTTGACTGTTTCGCGTGCCGCGCCTCATTCCGGGAAGTTGTTTTTTCCTTCCGGGAGGGCCGTTTTAGCAGCCACGGTTTTAGCAGCCCTCGCCCAGCTTTAGATTCTCCCAGCGCCAATATTCATTATTTGTTCGAGGCCCATGCGGGTCAACTTCCGAATGGCCTTTCTGGGGATTGCGTTTGGCTCTGGCCTTGGGGATACGGTTTTTCGAGTAGGGGATCGACTACAGAATCGATTGACCCCCCAAATTGAGTTCCTCGTCGGAGATACGAACAATACGTAGAATGCTCGTAGATCTACGGAACAATCTTCGCATTTCTCGTAGGTCCCATTGAAGACATCATTTTAGGGGAAATCCATTATGTAGTCGATGCCCCACTCGAGGCCTGGGGAGCGAAATCCAGGACTGCGAGTTCTTTTGCACGGCACCTGGTACGGAGGAATCGGGGATCCCCCCCTCCCCCTCCGCTCCTGGCTGCCTGGGGCTCTCCCCGGTGGGAGGCGGCCGGCTTGCTGGCCGTCGGGCAAGACGCCGGACAGGAGCTGAATCCTGCAGACTGCGAGATGCTCACTGCAGTCTCACCTAATGTGGCGGGTGGTGGCAGCAACGCCGGGGACGACGGAGCTGACTCGGTTGCGCGCGCGAGGAATTGCGAGGTCGGTGCTGTGCTTGCCCCACCGACGCTCCCCAGAGACCCCGGCCCCTGCTGGCTCACTGAGCCCAAAGAGCCCCCACTAGCGTTCTTACCTGAGGAGAGCTCCGTGTCGTTAATCTGACCCACACTCTCTCTCTCTCTCTGAATCAATACTTGGCCATGTCTCTAGAGTCCTCCTAGATGGTATCGGAGAAGATGGGATCGGAGGATCGCGCCGCATCGCCGATGTATCAGCTATGTTTCGGCGATGCATCGGCGATGCACTGGCGATGCATCGTCGACGTGGGTGATGCATCGGCGACGTCGGCGTGGAGGAAATCGGGCTCCACATCGAGCCGCATCGCCGATGCAACGGGGATGCGGCGCGATCCCCCGACCCCATCTACTCGGACCCCATCTAGGAGGCCCAGAGTCTCACCATGCTCTTCACTTGCGCCTCTTTCAGCATATAGGGGAGCTGCCTCCGGTTGTGCGGTGGGCATTAGAGCTGTGCCCGCACCGCCACAGTCACAAAACAAGATTGCGAGTGCGCCCTGCTTCACAGAGGGCTCGCTCTCAAGAAGGAGCTGATGGCACGGCCGCCTGGTCCCCTGTGATTTGTGACCCCCTCCCCCCTGGTCCCCACCAATGCTGAAGCCGCCGCCCAACGTTACCAACACTCACGGGATCATTCTGATCGCTGCGGCTCCTCAGGACTGCGTCTGTGCTCTCTCAATGATACCTGGCACCGAGGACGAGGGGGGCCAGGCTCTGTCCCCTGTCCGCCTCACCTCTGACGATGGCTCCTTCTAACAGGTGGATTTCTGGATTCGCCGGGCTGGTGGTCGCTCCAGCCAGAAGAAAAAACGGCATAAACATAAACTGTTGGCGCTCCGCGCGGATTTTTTGGATCTGCACTGGACCCCCCTCCCTGGCGCGCGGAGCGCTCCAGGGGCGGCGCCGCCAGGGGGGGGGGGGCCAACGCGGTTCCAAGAAATCCGCGCGGAACACCCAAAGTGTATGTGTATGCCGCTTTTTCTCCTTCGAAGATTATGGTGGGCTGCCTCCCTCCTTGGGTGGTCCAGTGCGTCCGCACGGAGGGATGGGCAACGCACTCGGTGCGGCCGGCCAGGGGCGCTCGAGACCCACCCGAGACCTCGAGACCCCACCGGCCGACGCACCAGACCCACCAGAGAGCGAGGGCGGGGAAACTGGCGACGCCAGCCAGGAGCCCTCGGCCCGCAGACGAAGCACCCTACGGCAAGCGCCCTCCTAGGGCACCCTCGTCGTCGCGCAGACGCAGACTCCGACCAACCAAGAAGTGCTCTCTCCTGGGCCCTACGAGGGCCCCTTTGAGGCCCTCACGGGAGCCAGCGACACGGCGCCCCCTTTGCCACGCCCTCGGGCCGCCAGGGAAGGCGCACGCGCCCCCGAGGGAGCAAATGCCGACACCTGATGTCCCGCCGCGGACTCGGGCGGGAAGAGAGTCGAGCACCAGCGACGAAACTCCAAGTCCAGCCGCAGCGACACAAGGACGCAGCCTGCCCAGAAGCTCCCTCCCCAGGAACCAATAGAAAGCATCTATACACCACCACCGTGCCAGGCCAGGGCCATCCTGGGCCCTAGGATGGTGTATACGCCCTCCTGGCCGAGCCAGGAGGGTCTATACACCATCCTACGGCCCAGGATGGCCCTGGCCTGGCACGGTGGTGGTGTAGAGATGCCTTCGTCGGAGCCAAGCTCAGGGACGATGAGGACCGCTGGAGCTTGGGGCAATCAGAAGGGCGGCGCCCAGATCGGGCGCCGCCCGTTGCAAAAAAACGCTCGCAGGGGGGGGGCATGGCGAGGGCCCGCGGGCTCCCCAGGGAGAGGGAGAACCCCCCCCCTCCCCCTCGTCATAGGTCGGGCATGTCTCCTACAGGGGGGGGTCGGGCGAAAAAATAAAAATGATTTTAAAAAATACTCACGAAGTACCAAAAAAATAATCTAAAAATAGGCCCCATACTATGTTTTGGCTATTTTTGAATATCCCTCCTGTAGAGGGACAGGCCCGACTTAACCCTCGTCCCCCGGGCTGGCGGGGGCTCTAAGGCAGGAGAGCCTGGACTGTAATCGAGAAGTCGGCTCGGCGATAGAAATGAGTCGGGTCGGCGGAGATCGGCAGCCGAGCCGGGCGAAGTCGAATCGGCGGAAATCGGCAGGCTAGCAGGCCTCCGTTGAGAGGTCGAACCAAAATCGGAATCCGATGTCGAATCGGCTCGGAATCGGAGGCCACCGAGATCGAATCCAATCGAAGGAACCGAAACGAGCCCTGCTAGTGTGTATGCAGGTGTGTGCCCTCTCTCCCCACCTTCTGGCCCCACAGGCTCCAGGGCTCTGGAGCCCCTCGCCGTGGCCACCTCTTCCCCCTCCCTGGGGGTTAAGGCTCCGGGGGGGAGGAGGCGGCGGCCCCGGATCCAGAAGGTAGGCGTTGTCGTACTCGGCGTCTCGGCACTGGGCGTAAGGGGGAGGGGGAGGAGCAGGAGGAGGAGGTGGAGGAGGAGGAGGAGGAGGAGGAGGAGTAGGAGGAGGAGGAGGAGTTGGAGGAGGAGTTGGAGGAGGAGCAGGAGGAGGAGGCGGAAGAGGAGGAGCAGAGGGAGAGGCCTGGCTCCGGACCTCTGCTTAACGCGACTGGGGGAGACTGTTTGCATCAGTGCGTCCTCTGGGGGAGAGACTCCACCTGCTCGAAACAGGCGCCAAAATTAGCTAAGACCCACTCCATGGGGGGGAGGGGTCCCGCGCCGATCGGCACAACGATGAATAAGGTAACGACGCGGAGAAGAAGATGGTGACCGTGGGGTACCCGAACTCTGGAGTAACCCCATAAGGGCGAGAAATCAAACTCCAGCAACCTGACCGTCCTGAGGAAGGTCGTGGTCCAGAGGATGCACCCTTTCAGCCATTTCGGTGCCCAATACTACCATCGCCATCTCGACAGCGGCGGTCAGCTTGGTCGCCCGTTCCGTCTGGCTCTGGCCGTCGGAGTAACACACCCACCCCGATTTTGACAGAACCCGCGGTGCAGTAGACCACCAGTTGAGGAGTAATCCGCATCTTCTGGCAATGCCAGCTCTTGAAAAGTGGTATGCTGGGCACTCTGCCCAGTACTGACGAAACGAGGGGGAGGCTGCACCGCACTGTCGACATTCCTTCCCCGAGCATCTGCGCGTCTCCGAGGACACAGCTCCAGCACGAAAGATACGTACCAGTTTGCGTTCATCCTCTCCGAGACGCTTGAAGAATCTTTTGTACACCAAATTCGACTTTGCGTCAAAGGATAACGCTGCCTTCTTGGGGCTTGCTACTCTCATCCACCAGGCTTGGAAGAGAGGCACGCCCGCTTGCTGGTTTCATTCCCCCACCGTCCATCTCTGGTCAGGTCTCGGATTAGCGTCTCCCATGCATGTTACCCCTCACCCAGCGGAGACACGCTTCCTTTTTCATGGCCCAGGCGCGCCGCTCGCAGGACAGGTCAGGCTCAGGGCCCTGGCTGTTCACCTGCCAGCCTTCGAACAGAGGATGAGGCGGGAAGCCGATATCAACCAGAGCGATCCTCCTCCGCCTCCTCCTGCTCCTCCTCCTCCTCCTCCTCCTCCTCCTCCTCCTCCTCCTCCGCCTCCTCCCCCTCCTCCTCCTCCTCCTCCTCCTCCTCCTCCTCCACCCTCCTCCTCCTCCTGAGGGGGGGGAACATGAAACCCATTCTGTCGTCCCCCATGAGACTTGGTCCTGCACTGCCCGTGGTCTTCGTTCTGCCTTCTTGCCTTTGGGTTCTCAAAACGACACGACTGCGAGTGCACTGGGCAGTCGCTGACCGCTGCGGTGCTTCCCCTTCGCCCGAGTGCTGACCCGGCGTGCTGTTCGCGCGCTGGGGGGCCCTGCGAGGGCGGCGGAGGCGGCGAAGCCGAGCCTGCAGTTGTCATGCATGCGCACTGCCCCACCCGATGTCCTCGCCACAGTCTCTTATTTGGGCCTCGCCTCTTCAACCGACCGACCGACCGAGGAGAACGAGGCGCGCGAGCGGGAAGGGGGGAGAGGACGAAGCAGAGAGCCAGGGACGGGAGGGCCTCATGGACTGAAGCATGCCAACCTCCGCCGCGCCCGTCTTCCTCAGGGGGAGAAGCACACAAGCTTCACGAGCATCAGAGCGAGGGGGCCGAACGGTCCTACACCATCCCTGGGTGCGAGGCGGGGATGTGTCTATGTCCACCGCCTGCGGAACCGACGCCCTGGGCCCCCAGCGGGCGGGGGATAGATGAATATATGTTGGCCTGAGGGGGCCAGAATCTATGCACGTCCACCGCCTGCCGAAGCTTCGATCCCCCGGGCGGTGGCAATGGATAAAGCCCCTCCTCGGACTGGGCGCGCGCCCATAGTCGGCTTCCACCCGCGACCCACCCGCCGCCCGGCCGCGAACCACCCCACGCTGCTGTGACGAAAACTCAGCGCCTGCGGCGGCTCGTTGCGCAGTGCTCCTGGAATCGGCGCCTGCGGCAAGCCTCTTCCGAGCCTCGCAGACTGCCGACGACCCCGCCGCCCCCTCCCTCGTATCCGCAACTGCGGGGTCTGCATATGCTATACTTTCGGAGGTCCGCGCGAACATCTCTTGGATCGGCGCTGTCCCCCCCCCCCCCCGAACCCTGGCGCGCGGAGCGCGCCGGAGGGGGCCCAGCGCAGATCCAAGAAGTCCGCGCGGACATCCGAAAGCTCATGCTTGTGCTGTCTTCGGGTGTTGCCAGAAGTGCCCCTGGCCCAAGGCGCCCCCAGGATCCTCGGAGCGGCCCGGGCGGCCTCCAGAGCACCCCTCACGAGACCCGGGGGCCCCGGGGGCTGCAAGAGTGGAGCGAGAAGCTGGGGGGCACCTTGGGCCCGGGGCACGCCCGGCAGCACCCGACGACTCGGGGGCGGCCAGGAGGGGGGCGCCCGAGCGAGGGGGGCGCTAAGCATGGCCGGCGGCGCGTGCGCGGCCCCGGGGCGGGGCCAGGGACGTCATGAGATAAGAAGAGCCGCCATGCAATCCGAGGGAACACCATGACCCACGCCGTGATATCCAACCCCCCCCCAATCATCCCCCTCTTGGCCGCCCCCGAATGTTTTCTCTCCTCCCCCAGCTCCTCTGAGCGAGGTACCTGCGGATCGCCTCGCTCGCCTCCTCCGACGCGTACGCCGGGCTCAGCGCGTCACTCCGCGGACTCCGGCGCGCCGCGGACCCCGCGGACGACTGCCGCGGGGTGGGCAACGACGTGGCCCGTGTCATCCCCCGGCCCCTGCTGGACGACGACGCCACCTTCGGTGGTAGCTCTTGGCGGCGGGCAAGGGGGGAAATGAGGAGGAGGCCGTCTCAGAAGGCGGCGGGACTTCTCAGAAGCCCTCGCGCCTTCCGAGAAGTGTCCGATGTCTTCGGGGAAGGCTCAGAAACGTCTCAGACGGCCGGGGGGACTTCCGAGCCCTCTGAGAAGGCCCGCCCCTTCTCACTTCCCCCCCGCCTTGCTCGCCGCCCAAACTCATAGCAGCCTCCCATACCACCTTGTCGGCTCTTGCGGATCGACGCTTATCGACGCTGTCCGACGCTAATCGACGCCAAATTGACGCTGATCAACGCCAGAGGCGGAATCCATAAGAGGGTACACAAGGCTCCCAGGATTTGCTACCAGATGCCACCGACACGTCGTCTCGCACGTTGGCCTCAGCCGCCCGCCGCGCGCTGAGGCTGACCTGGGCGACGACCACAGAACTGCATGAGCGTAAACCTTTCGGAGGTCTGGGCGGATTTCTCGGATCGGCGCTGGACCCCCCTCCCCCAAGCCCGTGCCAACGGGGCGTTAGCAAACGGGGCGGTAGCCAAAGGACCTCTTCAGGCGAGAACGGGGCGACAGGGCATCTACCCCGCACGGTAGTGCGTGATACCCTGGGACGACGCAAACGTCGATGCATCATCACAAGCTCCGGGCGGGGGGGCTTTCCCTCGCTCTTGCCCGCGGCAAACCAATGTTCAAAACACCATTAAAAAAACGCACTCTCAGCTACGGCAGGTTCGTGTCGTGTCGACCCCGGCGTTGGTTCCTGACACCTCGGGGATCATTCGACCTTGAACGACCGGCCATTTCAGAAACGTCCAAATCGTTCCACATCGAACGATTCTGGGTCGCCCGCGGCGGTCAAGGTTGAACGCCACTGGCAGGGTCGCCGCCGGTCGACACGACACGAACCTACCGTACCAGACCGTTTGCTAACGCCCCGTTGGCAGGGCCCTGCCCCCCCCCCCCGCGCGCGGAGCGCGGCCAAGGGGCGGCGCCGGAGGGGCGCCGCCAGGGCGGCCCCAGCGCCGCTCCGGGAACCCCGCGCGGATCTCCGAAAGACCACAGCCAAAAGCCCTGAGAAGGACGCGCGGCAAGGTCGCAAGACCCTTGGAAGCCGACGTGGGGAGTCGCGGGGCGGCGGACGACGAAAACCCCAAGGGTTTTCAAGGAAGAGCAGGGACGCGAGGATGCCCTGAGCAAGGTCGAGGCGTCCTTATCAGGGCTCTTGACCGTACGCTCACGGCGTGGTTGGCTCCTCGAGGACCGACGACGCGACCCTCCTCATGCCCCGCCGGCTGCCGGACGAGGCGACCGACACGTCGTCCCGCACCGGAGCCGCGGGAGGCTGCCTCCTCGCGCTCATGGCCGCCGCTGCCGCGCGGGTGCCCCGCAGCTAGCCGCGAGCGGCCCCGGCCGTGGTTGGCCAGGTGCGGCGGGTCCCACCAGGGTGCCTGGCCCGGGCCAGGGTGGCCACCACGGCGGCACGAAGGCACCCGTGCAACAGGGGAAGCCGATGCGAGCGAGCTGGCCCGAGGACGCTTCGCGGTGCACCGGCAGCCGACGCCGAAGCCAAGGCTGAGGTGCACGGAGAGGGCTGCCACGAGATGGAGGCGAGTTGCGGGGCCGGCGTGCTGCTCCGAGCATCCCCGCTCGCTCCTCCCACAGCGTGGCTGCTCGCCCCTTGGCAATGGTAGGCCGCCTGGCGTCCTCGGATAACGCGGCAGCTGGCGAAGATTGGCCTCGCACGTTTTCGGCCCCTCCTCCTCATCATCCTTCTCCTCTTTCGCCTCTCATCCCCCCCGCTACCTCTCCCCCAAACCACTCGCCATGCAACTCGTCCCATTCCCGTCCTCCCTATCGGTCCATCCCTTCCTCCCTCCCTCACCCCCTCCTCCTCCTCCTCCTCCTCCGCCTCCTCCTCCTCAACTTCATCAATATTCCCCTTCTCATCATCATCTTCATCCTCATCCACCTCCGCCTGGACCTCATCATCCTCATCCCATTCCTCCTCGTTTCCCTCCTCCTCCTCCTCCTCCTCAACCTCCACCGGGGGCACGCCAGAAGGACGTGGGGCGATGTGGGGGACCTTCGTCTAGGAAGACAGGGGGCCTCTCCCAAAAGAGCTCGGAGGCGCTTGAGAAGGCCTCCTACAGGATGCCCGCTGAACTCACTGGAGGGAAAGACAGAGGACCACGCCCAAGACTAAGACTGAACGCGCAGATGTCGGTGTCGGCCTTGGTCATCGTCTATCTTGGTCATCGTCAGTCCGTGCATATTCCCAATGAATCAACGACGGACGGCATGGACCATGACCAAGATCGACGTCGGCAAGATCCCGGGATCTCATCGTATTTCTTTCCCCGACTCGTTCTCGCCGTACATAGGACTCGAGCCACAGAAGAAGGGCAATCCATAGGCACGGACGTACAACGCACAAGTTTCGAGCCCCAGAAAAGGGGCAATCGATAGGCACACGCGAAAAAAAATTATCCGAGCCACAGGAGAGAGCCAGTCGACAGGCACGCACGTCAAAGATGCAAAATTCGAGCCAGAGGCCAGGGGGGTGTGAGGCCTCGCGGCAGGCCCCGGGGCGCCCAGGGGCCCAAAAATTATCCTGGCGATGGACCCAACTATATGCAGTTACGAGTACCGCAAAGCAGGTTGAACGAATGAGAGGGAACTCCCTAAGGGGCCACGAAGCGCGTGAGAGGTGTGCCGAAATGGGTGCGGTGGGCGCATGCGAACGCAGCCACTGGGGCCGTCAGTGAAGCTCCCTATGGGGCCACGAAGCGCGTGAGATGTGCGCCGAAATAGGTGCGGTGGGCGCATGCGAGCGCAGCCACAGGCGCCTTCGTTGGAGCTCCTTATGGGGCCGCGAAACGTGTGAGGGGCGCGCCGGAATGCGCGTGGGTGACGCATGCGGGCGGTGGCACCAGGGCCTTCGGCGGAGCTCCCTATGGGGCCACGAAACGAATGAGTGGTTTGCCAAAGTGGGTGTGGGGGACGCATGCGGGCGGTGGCACTGGGGCCTTCGGTGGAGCTCCCTATGGGGCCGCGAAACGTGTGAGGGGTGTGCCACATTGGGTGTGGGGGACGCATGCGGGCGGTGGCACTGGGGCCTTCGGTGGAGCTCCCTATGGGGCCACGAAGCGCGGGAGGGGTGTGCCGAAATGGGCGTGGCGGGAGCATGCGGGCGGTGGCATTGGGGCCTTCGGCGGAGCTCCCTATGGGGCCACGAAGCGTGTAAGGGGTGTGCCGGCATGTGCGTGGGGGACGCATGCGGGCGGTGGCACTGCGGGTCTTCGGTGGAGCTCCCTATGGGGCCACGAAACGTGTGAGGGGTGTGCCAACTTTCTTGTGTGGGGGGGACGCATGCGGGCGGTGGCACTGGGGCCTTCGGTGGAGCTCCCTATGGGGCCACGAAACGTGTGAGGGGTGTGCCAACTTGGGTGTGGGGGACGCATGCAAGCGGTGGCACTGGGGCCTTCGGCGGAGCTCCCTATGGGGCCACGAAACGTGTGAGGGGTATGCCAAATTGGGTGCGTGGGGGACGCATGCGGGCGGTGGCACTGGGGCATTCGGTGGAGCTCCCTATGGGGCCGCGAAACGTGTGAGGGGTGTGCCACATTGGGTGTGGGGGGCGCATGCGGGCGGTGGCACTGGTGCCGTCGGTGGAATTCCGTATGGGGCCACGAAACGGTGCACTGGGTGGGTGAAACGCAGGGAGGAGGGAGGAGGAGGAGGAGGAGGAGAGGAGGAAAGGAGCGCGGGGCGACGTCTCTTCAAAACGAGGACCCAACACCACAGGATGGTTGGGAATCAACGAACCGACACCGGATACAAATAAACTTCTGCCGTTCTGTCCTGGAGCCCGGGGAAGGCTCGGGAGGCCCGGGGGAGGGCCGCCCAGAGGCCAAAAAGACAACGAACCGACACCGGATCCAACGCTCCGCCCCCGGGCCCGGGGAGGCCCAGAGAGACACACAGGACTCGAGCCGCAGGAAAGGGGCAATCTATAGGACCATGCGTAAAACACGTCGGGTCCGGGACACACGAGAGAGACAATCTATATAGGCACCTGCGTGAAGCGTAACGAGCCAATCTGGACCACATCGAGCCAGAACACCACAGTGAGTCGCATGTCTGAATCTGGTGGGGCTGAAATCGAATCAGAACACCATACTGAGCCTCACTCCGAACACCATAGCGAGTCTCATTTCTGGATCTGCGAGGCAAAAATCGAGCCAGAATGAAGGGGCCCTGGGACACACAAATAAATAGACACCAATAAGAGGATTCCACATATTTTCGTATATTTTCTGGGTTTTCGTCTTCCCCCCCACTTCCCATATTCTCCTATATTTCCTGGGGAATCGACGATTACTTGTGTCTGTGTGTCTTTTTCCCTCCTGACAGAACACACGTCGATTCCGGGCAGCCGCTGGAACGGTGCGGCGCCCCCCCTCCCCGGCCTCCCTTGTGGAGATTCTGGCGCGAGGCATTCGAGCCAGAACGCACCAGTGAGTCGCACCTCTGGCCTGCATCGAACCAGAACACCGCGGCGGGTCTCGCTCTGGACCTGGGAGGGCCGCACTCGGGCCAGAACGCCGTGGCGAGTCTCGCTTCTGCACCACATCGGGCCCGAACACCTCCCTCCTCCTCCTCCTCCTCCTCCCTCCTTCCTCCTCCCTCCTCCCTCCTCCTCCTCCTCCTCCTCCTCCTCCTCCTCCTCCTCCTCCTCCTCCTCCGATGGCGAGTCGCATTGTCGGGACCGAGATCGAACCCGAACGCCACAGCGAGTGTGCTGCCGGAAGATGCTCTGCCCGCGCCGCCGGGTCATGCCAGGCCGCGCCGCCAGGCCACGTGAGACGCCTCCCCCCGGGCCCCCATGGAGATGCTGGTGAGAGGAAGAGGAAGCATCCCGCCTCCTCCCTCCTCCTCCTCCTCCTCCTCCTCCTCCTCCTCCTCCTCCTCCTCCTCCTCATCTTCCACGGCCTCCTCCTCGCCTCCTCCACCTCCTCCTCCGCTTCCACGGCCTCCGTCTCCGCCCACTTCGTCGCCGACGTCGTGGTCCTCTGCAGGGTCGGCGGCGCTGGGCGTCGGGCCTTCGCAGTATTTGGCAGCCAATAGGACCCTCTGGCGAGACGCTAAGAGGGAAAAGTGAGCGCAGTGGGAAGGGACGGGCTAGCTCGTCCTCCTCCCCTCCCTTCCTCCCCCAAACATGATGCCACCGGGGTTTCCACACAGCCCAGTAGCTTGGCAAGACTCTGGTTCAATGTCTGGCCTCGTGGGCATTTCCAGAAAAAGGCAGGGGGCGGCGGTTGTTCGCCATGGGCGTCTTCGATCCACCACTGCGCATAAGTCCGCACTCCATTACATTACGTTGGCTTGCATCGCGCTTCAGTCACATATGCGGCATGCACACCATAGCTGTACATCCTGCGCTTGATGTGCAATCCATTTTGAATTCGGAGACGAGGAGAACCTCGAGTGGCACCGGCTTCGACAGCTAGTCGAGTGTTCATGGAATAAGATAGCGTACGTCCGATCACCCACGCACATGCTTGCCTTCACAAGTACGTGCGTGTGCTTCTTTGCCTGCGTACACTCGATGCACCTTCAACTGCACACACCCACACGTGCAAGAGAATGAACACACGCTGCCCACATACACACGCTTGCATGCGCACACGTACTCACAAGCATACGCACGTACACACGTATACACATGCGTGCATGCACACACGCATACATACATATATATATACACACATGCATATATATATATATATATATATATATACATATCTATACATATATATACATTTGTATACATCACCAGGACATGCGTACGTGCGCGAATTAATTCATTCACTGACTCGTGTATCATCCTGCACCGAATCGTGCACGGACTCGTGCACCCTGGAGGCGCACGAGCCGTTCACCTTGGCATCCTACCGGAACCTCAAAAAAGGTCTGGACGTCGGCTGAACGGGTGGGCGCACCCTCTGGCGCTTGCACCCGTGCCTGAGTTGATGCTACTACCATGTGAAGCGGCTCGCCTTGACAAGGCAGGTGTTGGCCAGGTTTCTAACTACTTGCACTTATTTGGTTGGTTTTTTCAGGGAACACGAGCACTTGAAGCTGTACCGCGGGACCGGCGCTCATGAGGACACTCTGTCCTGCCAGCGCGGCCGCACCACTCTCGTGGGGTCTCCAAACAAGTACAAGTAGTCAACGATTACCTGCACTTGTTTGGGGAGATCAAACCCCACGGAAGGTACATCGCACGAATATTATAGTTTGCCTGCGCACAATACTGCAAGTACGCACGCCTTGTTGCACCCGCGCGCACGCTGGAGCACGCATGCCTGCATTGGGAACTAATGAGAATGTCGGCACGTGTACATACATACGCTCGCGCGCGCGCACACTGACAACAGCCGAATTCGT